TTCTATCTTTTGTAGAAAGGTCTTACCCTTGCTCTTCCTAAGGCTGATCTTGAGCTGAAGCAATCCTCCTTCCTTGGCCTACCAGAGTGCTAGGATTATAGGCCACCTTGCCTGCCTTGTATTTTGTTTTCTGTTCTGTGCTTTGCCATATTTGATTCTTTAAATCTCCCACACCTCCCTTTGCTCAGAGAGAAGGTGACTTTAAGCATAAGCTCCCCTTCTACATTCATTGGCCACTGAATTAAAACCTAAATACCTTTTAATTAGGTGCTCTTTCTTTGGGGCTGATATATAGTAGGAAAAAAAAAACCCACAGTATTTTTGTAGCAATATCTTATATTTATACAGAGCTTTACATATTGTGATTGCCCAAACTCACTTTTTATTAAATGTCTTTTATTGGATATCAATTGTGTTAAATGTTATAATAAAGAAATACTAATTTTGGGAGGCTGAGGCAGGGGGATTACTTGAGGCTGGGAGCTTGAAACCAGCCTGGGAAATATAATAAAATCTCATTTCTTCTGGCTTTTTTTTTTTTTTGAGACAGAATTTCACTATGTCACCCTCAGTAGAGTGCTGTGGTGTCACAGCTCACGGCAACCTCAAAGTCTTGGGCTCAGCGATTCTCTTGCCTTAGCCTCCCAAGTAGCTGGGACTACAGGCAACCCCTACTTTTTGTTGTTGTTGTTGTTGCAGTTGTCATTGTTGTTTTTTTAGCAGGCCCAGGTCAGGTTCGAACCCACCAGCCTCAGTGTATGTGGCCAGCTCCCTAACCAATGAGCTACTGGCGCCAAGCCCACAATTACAGATTTAATCTACTCAGAGCCTTTTGTTATATTCCAGGTGGGCGAGACCAAGTCTCTCTTCCCAGTGGCCCAGGGAAGCCCTAATGCCAAGTCAATTGGCAAGATTTTTAGGTCATCATACCACTGTTATTTTGTCTTTCTCTCATTTTTCAAATTGACTAAGATGAAAATTTCTCACTATAAAATGTTAGTCATGAAGGTTAATTTTTATTTCTTTCTGTAACTCCTTGTAATTAATATCATTTGCTCTGGGAATATCTGGGTAGGATATATGCCTGTGGTTTGGAATGGCTTGTGTAAAGTTAGGTGACACATTTAGGGACTGAGTGTGGGTTGTGCTGTAAATACCTACATGTTGAAGCCGTTGAACTAGATAGTCCAAATATCTATTGATTGACATCTATTGATTGACAGCTAAAACTAACTAAAAAGGTAATAGATCAGTGATTCTGTGTGGTCTTATATAACTTAGATGGGTGCTGTAAGGTATTGCAGAAAACTTGAAGCAAAATTTGAAAACCAGGAAAGACAAATTGATGTTAATGTTGCTATTCTAAAATTAAGTATACTATGACAGGCAGATATTTAACGATCTTAAGAACATAATTGTCTTAGTCCCAAATTATAAAGACAGCTTGATATGTAAATACATGTATTTAAAAGAGACACTTAACAAGTTTTTATACTTAAAACTTTAGTTTCTAGATATTTTAAAATGTTTTTGTACTGCAACATGGATATGACAAGATGAGCTCCTTGTCACCTCCGTGCTAAGTTTGGTCCATGTCAGTTAATTCAGGTGTTTAAATAAAGAGGCAGCTCTGTCTAAATGTCTGTTTGCTAGAAGATTCTGTGACAGAAAATTCAAATCCTTGGCTACCATTGGCATTTACCAATTGGTATTCCTATCTTTGAGAATCAGAGGTTAAGAATCACATGTGGGTTGGGAATGGTGGCTCACGCCTGTAATCCTAGCACTCTGAAAGTCTGAGGTAGGCGGATTGCTTGAGCTCAGGAGTTCGAGACCAGCCTGAGCAAGAGTGAGATCCCCCCCATCTCTCCTCAAAACAGAGAAAAACTAGCAGGGCATAGTGGTGCATGCCTTTAGTCTCAGCTACTTGGGAAAGCTGAGGCAGGAGGATCACTTGAGTCCAAGAGTTTGAGGTTGCTGTGAGCTATGATGACACCATGGCACTCTACCTAAGGGGACAGAATGAGACTGTCTTTAAAAAAAAAAAGGAAAAAGGAAAAAAGAATCACATGCGTACCATTTCTATCTACTAGGATGACTATACCATAGTTAAAAAAAAGAAAAATAGCAAGTATTGGTGAGGATGATGGAAAACTGAAACCTTGCACGTGGCTGGTGTAAGGGCAACATAGGACAGACTGAAAAGCTTGATGTTTCCTCAAAAAGTTAAACACAATATCACCATTTGACCCAGTCCTTCCACTCTTAGTTATATACCTAAAGTAATTAAAAACAAGGACTCACACAGATACTTGCACAGCATTATTTATAATAGTCAAAAATTGGAAACAACCCAAGTATCCATCCATAGTTGACTGGATTAAAAAAACTGGTATGTACATATGTACATACAATGAAATATTAATATAATTTGGCCGTGGAAAGGAGTACAGTTCTGATACTTGTTACAACATAGATGAACCTTGAAAACATTATACTAAGTGAAATAAGCCAGACACAAAAGGACAAATATTGTTTGATTTCACTTATATGAAATACCTAGAATACATAAATTCATAGAAATAGAAAGTAGACTGAAGGTTACTAGGGCCCGGGAGGAGGAGAAATGGGAAGTTTTAGTGAGCACAGAATTTCTCTTTGGAGTAATGAAAAAATCTGGAAATAGACAGTAGTCATGGTGGTACAACATGGTGAATGTAATTAATGTCACTGAAGTGTTCACTAGTATTGGTGAAAGGCAAACTTTATGTTGCATATATTTTTCCACAATAAAAAAAAGAGTAAAAAAAATCACATTGCTTGTTTTCTTGCAGCCCTTTTAATGTTCAGAGATCTGAACATTACAGCCTTGGTCTCTCTCTAACATAGGGACTATTGCCTACAAAAGCAGAGGGTACAACTCTAGTGCACCGGTTCTCAACCTGTGGGTCGTGACCCACAGGAACTGTATTACAGGGCTGCAGCATGAGGAAGGCTGAGAACCACTGCTCTAGTGGAATAACGGACAGAGTCTACGTTTGCTTAAGGCTCTACAATTTAAATTTAGGTTCCTGAATTTAGGTTATGTGTCCTTTCTACAGAAGAATCTTCATTAAATGCTGACTCAAACAGAGTAAGAATGGACTTCTTAAAAACCTTTTTGAAATTCTCCCCAATAAATAAGTACATCGTTGGAGAAAAGACAGTATTGAAGGAAGTGGTTAGTGCTGTAAGTATCGTAGTCAAGTCTAAAAGTAACGACTGATTCTTGATGAGAAGTAAGCCCTGGTATACATGGTAGGGCACCCAACATACAAAGAAAGAGATGATGGCTGCCGTCATGACTTTGAAGGGCTTGCTGGATTTAAACAGGCCCTTCTCTTTCATCTTGCTGGCTACTCTTTGGTAACAAAAGGTGATGATGAAGAAAGGCACAAGGAAGCCCAGCAAGAAACGGCTGATGAAAAAGGCGATGTGAATGCGTTGACTTAAAGTTTGCATCTCCTTTCTTTCCCAGTTAGTAGACACAACATAGTTATTCTGACAGATCAACTTTCCTTTTTGGTCATGATGTGTCTCCCTGAACACCAAATAGGGGATGCTGAGGGCAGTTGCAGAGATCCAGACTCCCAGGACAACGCTGAAAGCCCCGCGTGGGGTTCGATGCTGCAGGGACCATATCGGGTGAAGAATGAGAAGATAGCGATCGAGACTGATGGCCGAGAGGAAGAAAACAGAGGCAAAGATCCCCAGAGACAAAATGCTATTGACGACCTTGCACAAGGCAGTTCCGAAAGTCCAGTAATTATCCTCAAGCTGGGAGATGGCTATAAATGGCATTACCAATGTTGAAATAAAATACGTGAGAATGAGGTGAAAAAATAAGACAGTATTGACGGTCTGTTTCATCTTGAATTTTAGCACCCATAGATAGAGGCCGTTGATGATGGTACCAATTATAAATGACACAAACAAAGGAAGGGCGATGATTATTTTTGATACAGGAGCTGGAAAGTGTGTGCTGTTTCTTATTAAAGTAGAGCCATTTATTGAGTAATCAGTAGAGTTGATCAGATCCATAATTACCTGTGGAGTGAGAAACAGTGAAAATAACAAAAAAAGCAAAAGAAAAGGTTAAATGTAGGAATTAAAACAATAATTTTTGCATAGTAATAGTCCAAATGACCATATTTTAACAGTGGCACATATAATATTTCCACAGTAATATATAATACAAATCAAGTATTTTTCTAAGGTCTATAATGTTATGTTGTATGAGGAATTAAGATAAAATTAATCTGGGGGCGCCTGTGGTTCAGTGAGTAGGGCACTGGCCCCATATACTGAGTGTGGCAGGTTCAAACCTGGCTCTGGCCAAATGGCAACAACAACAACAAAATAGCCGGGTATTGTGGTGGGCAACTGTAGTGCCAGCTACTCAGGGGGCTGAGGCAAGAGAATCCCCTAAGCCCAAGAGCTGGAGGTTGCTGTGAGCTGTGATGCCACTGTACTCTACCAAGAGTGACAAAGTGAGACTATCTCTTAAAAAAAATAAAGATAAAATTAATCTGAGCATTAAAAATAGAAGTACTACAGGTTGGGAGTAGTAGCTCATGTCTGTAATCTTAGCACTTTGAGAGGCAGAGGTGGGAGGATTGCTTGAAGCCAGGAGTTTGTTTGTTTGTTTTCTTTTGAGACAGAGTCTCACACTATTGCCCTGGGTAGAATGCCATGGTGTCATCATAGGTCACATC